AAAGGGTGAAGTATAGTCTTTCCCGAGATGAGGCTGGGGGGATTCCTTAAATGTAGGTTTAACTAGACAGGTTCTGGAGCGCGCGGCTAGCGAGCGCTACAAGGGTCACGTTGTTAGGCCTAGGTTAAACAAGATGTCTAACAAAGCCGTGAACATGGGCGCAGAATTGCGCAAGAAAGAGATCCGTCGAAGTTTCGATCGGTACATTCATGAGGTCAATACCTCGGAGGGGTCATGCTCTAGGGTCGACTGATATGTGTGAGGAATTTCGGCGGCATTCCGAGAGCCTGGCCCCTGTGATGAAGAGTTTCGTAGCTATTTGGCTGACTTCCCCAACTGAAGCGGCTAGCTGTGAGGCTGCGATCAAGGATGGTGAAGTCTACTTGGCATTGAAGAGGGTCGGCAGTGGCAAGTATCCAGGACTTGATGGTTTACCCTATGAATTGTACTTGAGGCTGTCGCACATCTTTGTGCCAATTTTCATTGTTGTGTTGAACAACTACACTGCATGCCAAATTATTATCGAGATAACTTTTTTTCTAATATTTCAAAAACCTTCCAATAAATTCACACAAAACTTTCACACAATGTTGTCAATACTGACCTCCGCAATCACTCAAAATTTCGTACTGATCTGCGCAATGTAAACAAACTGGCACCATATTTGTCATCAGCACTGTGATTTGAGCGTGCCAAATTATTAGAAAAGTGTAAGAATTTTGTGAAAAGATGGGCCGTAAAAGCGGTTTAACTGATACTGAAAAGAAAACTCACCTCAGAACTCTCAAAAAGTAAATCTACCGTAAAAATTTCTAAAATGATAGGAGGTGTCATCAAACAGTGAAAAAGTTCACCGCCGACTCTACACAAGTACGCAAAAGGGCATATAAAGGCAAGTCGAGGTTATTTCACATAGTCTCATGTCACGACTTAAACGAGAGGTCACGAAGAACCCTGGACTTACCAGTCATGAGCTTTTCAGTTGCATTGGGGATCCTACTGTGTCTAAAAGTACTCGGTGTCCGTACCTGAGGGAAATAGCAACAACGGTCAAACCTGTATCGAAGCCTCCGTTGACGAGAAATCACATTCAAAATCGATTGAAATGGGCCGAGGACAATATGAAGTTTGACTTCTCTAAAGTTTTGTTCACAGACGAAACTCGAGCAACATTTGATGGGCCAGATAGATGGTGCAAAGGCTGGGTAATGAACAGACAGAATTGCCATCAGCGTTTGAAACACCAACAAGGCGGTGGAGGCATAATGATCTGGGGTGGTATTATTGGAAAAACATTAGTGGGCCCATGGAGAGTATCAGATGGCGCCAAAATTACAGCTGATGCATATATAGCGTTTATGAAGGAGCATCTTGAACCGTGGATGAAAAGATAAAGAGTTGCCTTCAGAAGGGCCATTGTTTTTATGCAAGATAATGCTCCCTCATATGCTGCTCACAAGACTACTGAATATTTGAAACAGGCTTCGATGGACCTCGAAAAATGAAGTGGCCAGCAAATTCTCCAGATTTGAACCCAATCGAAAACCTTTGGAGCATCATGAAGCGAAGACTGTACGTCAACGGACGACAACTCAGGAGCAACGCTGGGTCGTGGGAAGCAATTCTTGACATATCTCGCGGCATTACAGCAGATGACATCCTACAATTAACAAATTCTATAGATCGTCGACTTCTTCAAGTAATTTCAAAAAAGGGAAAGCACATTCCAATTAATTTGTTTAAAACTGTGCCTTTGTTTGTATCTGTTATTATTTGTTTGATTATCTTATTTATTAGCTTCTTTTGATCATAAATGTTCACGTGCAACATTAATAAACGTTTTGTTTGTTCAATTCTGGGAATTTTACTAAACCTTTCTAATAATTTGGCACGGTCAAATCACCGTACTGATATCAAATATGGCGCCAGTTTGTTTACATTGTGCAGATCATTACGAAAATTGCAGTGATTGCGCAGGCCACTGTCGCCAACATTGTATGAAAAAATTGTGTGAATTGATTGGACAGTTTCTGAAATATTAGAAAAAAAGTTATCTCAATAATAATTTGGCACGCAGTGTAGTTCCGGCAGTGATCCATCTCCAATTGGATCACCATATGTGATCACGCTGTTGAAAAAGGGAAAGGATGATGGCGGGGGTTAGATGATTATAGGCCCATAACTCTGCTAAACACAGAGTTGAAGATTTTGGCTAATATCCTGACGGAGCGTTTGCAGTCAGTTGCCGAGATTCTGTTTCGGTCGGCTCGTCAGAGCTGCCCACTCTCGACCCTACTTTACGCTTTGGCATTGGAGCCTCTCCTTCGCCGGCTAAGGTACAGGGCTTTCAGTCCGGCCCTATGTGGAATCGCTGTCCCTGGTGAGGCTCGGTCAAGTGTTTCCGCGTAGGCCGATGACGTATCCATTTTCGTGTCGTGCCGCAGCGACATTGAGGTGGTACAGAAGTCGCTTGAATGGTACAAAAAGATCACACGGCCCAAGATTAACCGTGACAATTTTTCCGGCTTGTGGTTAGGTGCCTGGAAGGGGGTCAATCTTCCGAGGCTTTGGTTGGACGGACGGTCCTGTCCGAATTCTTGGATTGTGGTATGGACCCAACATCCAGCTAGAGAAAAAGTGGTCAGAAGTACAGGCAAAGGTCGGAGCGTCTGTCCGGACTTGGCCCAGAAGGAGGTTGTCCTTGAAGGGTAGGGCTGAGATGTGTGCCACTTATGTCTTTCCTCTCATCCTTTACCCCTTAGCTGTATTACCTCATTGCAAGGACTATAGGAAGGCAATCGAGCGCTTGTTGTCCACCCTCTTGTGGGATGGACGCAAGCAGAAGATCCGCAAAGAATCCTGTTTTCACACTTGGTGAATCATTGACACGCCTCGAGGTTGGCTTTTCTACGCCGCGTTTTTGACAGAGGATTCGATTTTGGCGGGGAGTGTTAGGGACGCCTTCCCTAACCTTATTATCATTTCCTGGTCTAAGCGCCGTCATAGGTCCGGGAAACTGTCGACTTTCCTCAACGAGTTTTGAGCGGACTTGGGGGTCCTTTCTCGGTCCAATGACCTTTCACGGCATCGAAAATTGTGAATTATTGGAGAGGTCGCGATGGATCCTTTCTGTGGGCGGCTCGGCTCGGCTTTTCGCTGGCCGAGTTGCGCTCTTTCGGGGTCTTGGGCTACAACGGCGAATTACCTCAGTAACCCTGAGTTTTCGCTTAACTGGCGATTGATTCGAAACGTGCTATCTCTCAATGACATAGCCTTCAGATGGGACTGGGAGGATTTTCCCGACTGTCACCGGTGTGACCTTGGTTTAGAGGAAACCGCTTCGCACGCCTTCTACCATTGTTCTCAGGTGGCCCTTTATGGGACTATACCGGCGAGTTGACAGCTCGTATCGCTCGCGATAAACTTGTGCTCATCGATCTCGCATATGCGTGCGATGTGTCGCCTCCGTATTCTGGGATGAAACAAATGGTGATTCTAACGCTGCTAGTCGTGGCAAGAATGGTGATCTAGACGACGCGAATTAAGGGAATCTTGCGATACGAGCGCTATTCTCATCAGGCTCTGATCCGATTCTTTCAACATCACTGATAGAAAGCGTTTGGTGTCGACGGATATCAGCGAAAGGTGGATGAAAGTAACGAGCTTAGTTCGTGTGAAAGGGGCTATCCTCGAGTTCCTTTTTTAAGTCCTCTTCGTTACAACGGTGTGGTTTCCTGTGAAAACCTTGCCTGAAGTTAGACTCTCTTTGTGTACCTATTTAATGTCAGTGAGTGTCGTTCCTCGCCTGTTTCCAGCTTCTCCTTTATGTTATGATCCATGTCAAGATTCCCAACCTTCCCAGTTTGTTTTTGGCCTTTTTCTTTCATCTCTACTGGTCTTTGATCTCCCCACGTCTATATTTATTTTATCCTTCGCACTCCGTTAGAGAGTTAGCTTCTTGAGACAGAATACACTCTTATTTTTACGTGATGGATGGGTCCTACTAACATTTGGTATTTTCTGTTCGATATTTTGTTATATTTTAGTTTGCTGTTGGGAATTTATACCCCCCACCACCTCATTTCATACCATCTGTAAATTTTTATATATATATTTTTCTATGAACATTTGTACATGAGAAATTTTTAAATCACGGGGTGTTTATGTATGGTCGGGAATCGGATTAGCTAGGTATAGGAGAGTTAATGATGATCAGACTCACTCCACTTCCTCTATTGGCCTTGTGTTACAATAAGTAATTTTCAATAATAAATATAGAGCTACCATCTATTGATCTGTCAACGTCTATTCCAGAGATTACTATACTTCATAAAAATAACAATACGATAACGGACGATGGCCTTTAACCTAATCTTATTAATTCATCTTATATGAGACTGGGATTTTAACCACGTTTTGGATAAATGGCTGAAATTTTTCCACTGAATTTTGTCCACAGGGATTTTGCCCACTGGGACTTTGCCAGCTGGGATTTTGTTTACTGGGATTTTGTCCGCTGGGATTTTGTTCACTGGGATTTTTGTCTGCTGGGATTTTGTCCGCTGGGATTTTGTTGGGATTTCGTCCACTGGGATTTTGTTCACTGGGATTTTGTCTGCTGGGATTTTGTTCACTGGGATTTTGTCTGCTGGGATTTTGTTCGCTGGAATTTTGTCCGCTGGGATTTTGTACACTGGGATTTCGTCCACTGGGATTTTGTTCACTGGGATTTTGTTCGCTGGGATTTTGTCCGCTGGAATTTTGTTCACTGGGATTTTGTCCGCTGGTATTTCGTCCACTGGGATTTTGTCCGCTGGGATTTTGTTCGGATTTTTGTTCATTGTGATTTTGTTCGCTGATTTTGTCCGAAGGATTTCGTCCTGGTATTTCGTCCACTGGGATTTTGTCCGCTGGGATTTTGTTCACTCGGATTTTGTTCATTGTGATTTTGTTCGCTGGGATTTTGTCCGAAGGATTTCGTTCGCTGGGATTTTGTTCACTGGGATTTTGTCCGCTGGGATTTCGTCCGCTGGGATTTTGTTCGCTGGGATATTGTCCGCTGGGATTTCGTCCGCTGGGATTTTGCTCGCTGGGATCTTGTCCACTGGGATTTTGTTCACTGGGATTTCGTCCGCTGGGATTTTGTTCACTGGGATTTTGTCCGCTGGGATTACGTCCACTGGGATTTTGTTCGCTGGGATTTTGTTCACTGGGATTTTGTCCGCTGGGATTTCGTCCATGGGATTTTGTCCGCTGGGATTTTGTTCACTGGGATTTTGTTCATTGTGATTTTGTTCGCTGGGATTTTGTCCGAAGGGATTTCGTTCGCTGGGATTTTGTTCACTGGGATTTTTTGTCCTGGGATTTCGTCCGCTGGGATTTTGTTCGCTGGGATATTGTCCGCTGGGATTTCGTCCGCTGGGATTTTGCTTGCTGGGATCTTGTCCACTGGGATTTTGTTCACTGGGATTTCGTCCGCTGGGATTTTGTTCACTGGGATTTTGTCCGCTGGGATTACGTCCACTGGGATTTTGTTCGCTGGGATTTTGTTCACTGGGATTTTGTCCGCTGGGATTTCGTCCACTGGGATTTTGTCCGCTGGGATTTTGTTGCTGGGATTTTGTTCATTGTGATTTTGTTCGCTGGGATTTTGTCCGAAGGATTTCGTTCGCTGGGATTTTGTTCACTGGGATTTTTGTCCGCTGGGATTTCGTCCGCTGGGATTTTGTTCGCTGGGATATTGTCCGCTGGGATTTCGTCCGCTGGGATTTTGCTCTCTGGGATCTTGTCCACTGGGATTTTTGTTCACTGGGATTTCGTCCGCTGGGATTTTGTTCACTGGGATTTTGTTGGGATTACGTCCACTGGGATTTTGTTCGCTGGGATTTTGTTCACTGGGATTTTGTCCGCTGGGATTTCGTCCACTGGGATTTTGTTGGGATTTTGTTCACTCGGATTTTGTTCATTGTGATTTTGTTCGCTGGGATTTTGTCCGAAGGATTTCGTCTGCTGGGATTTTGTTCACTGGGATTTTGTCCGCTGGGATTTCGTCCGCTGGGATTTTGTCGCTGGGATATTGTCCGCTGGGATTTTGCTCGCTGGGATTTTGTCCACTGGGATTTTGTTCACTGGGATTTCGTCCGCTGGGATTTTGTTCACTGGGATTTTGTCCGCTGGGATTACGTCCACTGGGATTTTGTTCGCTGGGATTTTGTTCACTGGGATTTTGTCCGCTGGGATTTCGTCCACTGGGATTTTGTCCGCTGGGATTACGTCCACTGGGATTTTGTTCTGGGATTTTGTCCGCTGGGATTTCGTCCACTGGGATTTTGTTCACTGGGATTTTGTTCGCTGGGATTTTGTCCGCTGGGATTTTGTTCACTGGGATTTTGTCCGCTGGGATTTCGTCCGCTGGGATTTTGTCCGCTGGGATTACGTCCACTGGGATTTTGTCTGCTGAGATTTCGTCCACTGGGATTTTGTCCCCTTGGATTTTGTTCACTGGGATTTCGTCCGCTGGGATTTTGTCTGCTGAGATTTTGTCTCCTTGGATTTTGTCTCCTTGGATTTTGTTCACTGGGATTTTGCCATGGATTCTAGTTGAAATATGGTACAACAAAAAAGCAAGCGATACTGTTATACTCGTAACTGACGCTTTTCTTGTTTTTAGAACTGATCCTTGATTCTGTTTTGCTAAATTGGAGACAGTTTTAAGCGCCAAGAACATTACTTCAGAATCTAAAGAAATATGTGCGTATCTAGCTTCTTCCATGGCGACAGAGACCGCAGTCGAAATTAATGATTCAATACTGAAAGTGCCAGCCGTTCCACAGTAAAAATAATTAAAAGAAATTATTTTACGAACGTCTATTTCAAAGTGAAAAAAATTACAGCAATTAACCACAAGCTAAGAGATGAGAAATATCACCGAGAGTTTTCACTGGCACAATTCAAAATGGCGTAATTCTGTTACATATTGTCATACAATGTTATGGGAACGTGGCCAAGTGGTTAGAACGTTTGCTTTCTGACCATGAGACCCGAGTTCGAATCTCAACATTTGTCTTGTTTTGAAGGTGACTTCCTGGTGTCTTTGGAAAGTGTCTGAAAACCATACCACGGGTTGATCCAAGCCTTGTGAGTGAAATTAGGTAGACGGAACTTTTTGGTAGAAGTTGGTGGTTGTGCTAGCACAAAGTCCCAAGTCATTCTGCCCGAGGGTTTGAGCGTGACCTTGTTCAATAACAGATAACGTGCTCTCTTGCTAAGGTCCGCTCAGCACAATTGCAGTGTAAACCACAAATGAGATCTGTCGGTGTTGAACAAATATAAATGTGCCTGAGCAAGCGTCTGCAACAGGGATTGGATAGTCGCCCTAGTAGATGGGCATCCTCGGATATGAATCACCTACTATTATTATTGTTGGTTCAGTTTTCGGTCTTTCTATAGTGGTTTTTTTAACGCCATATTATTTTGCAGGTTGTCCGTCAGCGAAACCTGGATTAAATATGCCAGGCATAGACATCGATAGGGTTTGAGCGTGTTGACCTTATCAGATTGTTGATCACGCTAGATAACACACTCATTCCCAGTATCTGTAATTAAGGTCTGCTCAGTATAGTTGCAGTATAAACCACAGGTGGGCTCTGTGGGTGTTGAATAAACACAAAATGTGCCTGAGTAGACAAGCATCCTCGAATTTGAAAATAACAAGCTTCATACAATCAAACTAGTCATGGGAGATTGGAGGCAGGTGCCCAGAAATGGGCTGAAGTAATGTTGACTCGGCTGTGCATAGACCGCACATATCTCATCTACTTGCTGAAAAATGAAGATCAATTCAAATTTTAACTGAATATAAGTACCTGTAAGGCATAAATACAAGCACACAATGAGAAAACTATTTGAAAATAATGAAACCGTCAACGTAATGTCCTAACACATATCCCAATATATATAATACATACAACAAATCATGTACATAGTATATATCTATGAAAAATATGGTTACCCTAAAAGTATAAAATTATGTACAAAATACCTGTAATTGAAGGCATACAATTACGTTCAAAACATATATAAAATTGTGTACAAATTATTTAGATTTTGGTATTAAATAATCCATAGGGTATGATATGCCGCTAAACAAAATCAACCAAACAAACCAACAATTTTCAAATGATAAATAGTTCTCCAATCCTAACCTTCTCCCAGTTGTCGTTCAAATAGCTGAACGAAGGAATAAGGAAAAAAGCAGCAGAATGATGGTTAAGAAAATGATCTCGCAAGCCTCTCTACTGTAAGAGGCTTGCGAGATCATGTTGTAATGGAATGTCCCACAATCCCTATCGCCTTATGTGGACTGACTATATCAGTAGCTATATATAGTGAGCACAGGATATACCTGGCGGACTTGCTTTGGCAATTAGTTGGAGATTCATCTCCAGCTGTGCTGGTCGAACTCTCTGCCTTCGAGCAGAGAGGAACCCAGATGAGGCTATGCTGAAGAGCAGTTCGTCTGGAGTGGTAGACATCACCCGACCCTGTTTTTACGGGGTACACAAGGAATTTTTTCGGGGCCTGGGGCTCGGTTTTGCCCCGCAAAAAAAAGGCCTTGTGCCACATCCTGACTTGCGGGGATGTAAGGTTGTAAGGTAAATAACCTTGCTTCGGGAATTACTAGACTATACCCGATTCCCTGTCTTTCAGTAGTGCATTTTCTTTTATAATAAACCTCCCTTCTTTCATCTACGCGCGTGTTGCTGTTCCTTCACTCGAGTACCACCTTTGTCTGTTTGTAACCTCTTTAAGGATACAACAGATCATTTTCTTATATAGTCATATAATAATTACCGCCAAATACATGTTATAACCAGAGCCGGCTCAAAGTACTGGCAACTTTTGCGCCATCATACCGGTATATCATGCGTTTGTGATCTTCCAAACAATAATAATAATAAAACCAAAAACAAAAAGAAAAAAAAAAAAAAAAATATTAAATGTAATACTCGACGGAGCTATTAATTCTTTATCAGAGATATTTGAACAATTACAAAGATTCAATAATGGTGATTTTTAAATATCCTAAAACAGGGGTCGGTCACCTACGGCACGCGTGCCGCACGTGGCACGCCAAGCAATTTCCAATGGGACGCAGCCACAAATCACTGTTGGACTCCCATTAATAATAAAACCCTTTAAAAAAAAAAAGACTTTAAAACAGTTTATTTCTGTTAATGTGGTTTACATATTATTATATATATATACATTACTATATAAAATATATTGTAGAACAGCATACGTATTTTCATACAAGTCAAGATCAATATACCATATTGATTCTTGACTTGTATAAAAATACGTATGCTGTTGGCACACTGAATGATTTTAAAGCCCTAAGTCGGCACATAGTCAACAAAAGGTTGCTGACCCCTATCCTAAAACATCTGCTAGATAAAAATAAAATCAAAGTAGCATGTCAAGGTTTATAGGATAATTTAGGGTATCAAAAATAATAGTGATATTAATGGATGTGATCTCTTGACTGAACTGGATGTTGCAAAAGAATTATTTCCTGAAGATATAAAGCTTCTAATAAAAGTCGTTAGGTTCATATACACTAATAAGTTACAGGATGTCATGCCAAATTTGTGGGTTGCATTGGAAATAATGCTTACTATACCCATTAATGCGGCTCGCGGTGAGAGAAGCTTTAGTAAACTAAGGCTTATAAAAATATATTTGCAGTCGTCCATGACTCAAGAAAGATTAAATTCTTTGCCTATTTTGTTAATGATCTTGTAAAGAAGATTGGTACAGAAAGTGGCATGAAAAGATTTACAAATCCAAAGGCTAGAAAATATGTTTTAGTTAGGATAATGAATGTTTTCTTTAGCTTGTATTTAGTTGTGTATTGCAATAAACTCGTTATTCGGCATTTTCCGTTTTTCTCCATGTGAAAATTTTTAAAAAGTATACTTGCAAGGGCGCCGAGGCTTGCCCGGAGTGCTAGAATCCCCAGGACTGGCTCTGGCTGTAACTTTAGCATCTATAACAGATAAAACTTCTCCAGATAAACAAGAAGACATCGTTGGCAAGATCATGGCTAGCTACAGGGTGGTCCGAAAGTCTTCTCACCCCTACATAATATAACGTTCTATTTCAGATGGCTGAAACGTGCTTTTGCAGTTTGAAAGAGAGGTAGTGGGTGACAAAACTTTCGGACCACTCTCTATATTGTTTACTTCAGGTCAGAAGGTTGCGTGTTCGAATCACGTCAGGGAGGTGGTCAACATTTGCAGGGGGGGTGCAGTTACCCTTTTACAACTTTTTCTTATTAACTACATCTGAAAATAAAATTCAAAGAAGAACCAGCAATACTATTGGTCCCGACCTAGCATCTCGACTTCTCACAGCCGTAACGTAGCCTCCCTGTGCCTTTTCTATAAATACTTTTATGGTAATTGTTCGGATGATTTCAATCTTCGCTAGATAGGTACAGAAATAGTGTCTGCAGAATAAGAAGTACAGGTTACAAGGATTTTGGGTAAACCTAATGTTGAAACTAAAAGAATATTTAGCTGATCGGGGATTCCTTTGAGTGGAAGTCGGTTTCACTGATCAGCTGTTCGTAGGAAGAAGCTACTCGAGTGGAACTTACATCTCACATTCTCTATAGGGGGCGGGGCATGGCGGGTCTGGCGCTGGAAGGTTAGTACTGGTGGAAATAGGGAATTCAGTTGAGACAAAGTAATGTGGTTATTTTTGGTTGAAAGTCATGGCTGCTATTACTGTAATTTCCGCGTCTTAGAATTATAGTAGGAGTTGGGAAAGTAGGCAAGAAGAGAGAGACAGACAGACAGACAGACAGACAAAGAAAGAGAAGAGAGATTGAGAAAAGAAAGAAAGAGAGAGAGAGCGAAGATGGAGAGAGAAAAAAGAGAGGGAAAGAGATAGAAAAGAAAGAGAGGAATAAAGGGGAGAAAAGAGAGAGAAAGAAAAGAGAAAAAAAACAGAGAGAGAGTGAGAAAAGAGAGAGGGATATGAAAAGAGAAAAAGGCGAGAGAGAGAAGAGAGAAAGAGAGAGAATGAGAGTGAAACAGAGAGCGGCATCTCACATGTGCCGGGATATGTCCAGTGAATCAAATCGAACCATTCGCGCGTGTGTGTGTGTGTGTGAGAGAGAGAGAGAGAGAGAGAGAGAGAGAGAGAGAGAAACAGAAAGCAATTTTATAACAAAGAAAACAAAAACGAGAAATGAACGACTGTATGTGGTTTGTGTATAAAATATCTGTATCTGATATTGTCTAATAGTTTGGGTTTCATTTCAAGACAATATGTCTATGGTAGTTGCATTCTAGAGTTTTCGACAGGATGTTCATTAATCATTGCGACCTCATAAAAATCCAACCCTCGTAACTACAGACAGAAAAATTAGCAAAAGTAATGTGACTCTACAGAAGGATGTTGAGGCTATCACGGACCGAACATGTGAACAAACGACGAAGTTTTAGAGAAAATGGAAACAAAAAAGAAACTTATACATGACATCATGAAGAGACAATTGAAATTTCTAAGGCACATAATGAGGAAAGTATGCTTGGAAAATCTGATACTCACAAAACAGATTGAAGGTAAGAGGGATAGAGGAAAGCAGTGTATTTTTGTTGCTTCAAGTCTCTTCATATTTGAGTAGATTGCCCAGCATTCCCTGCCATATAGGAGGACCGATATTACGTAATATTTCGGAACTCTTTTATTTGTAGAAGGGCATTTCTTTTGCTTCAAGTCTCTTTGTCATCTGTGGATAGATTGTCCAGCATCCACTGTCATATAAGAGGACTGATATTACTTAACATTTCAGGACTCTTTTTTTTGTAGAAGCACATTTCTGTTGCTTCATTCTCTTCTTCGTCTGTGAGGACATTGTTTGGCATTACAGTCATATTGCAGGACTGATATTGCATGACAGTTCAGGACTCTTTTCTTTGTAGAAGCACATTATTACTGTTATTTCAAGTCTCTTCTTCATCTGTGAGGAGATTGTCCGGCACTCACTACCATATAGGAGGACTGATATTACATAACATTTCAATTTCAAAAATTTTCTTTAACTCATGGATGCCAAAAATTCCACGGACTGAACCTCGTGGAGGTTTTAAAGAATATAATAACTAGAAGAACACTAAAAGAATACTTAACAATCAGAAAGCGACAGGTGACATTTCTGGGACGGGTTATCAGGATAGACAGTAAAATTCAAAACTCACAGGACATACTGAAGGAAGGAGAGCGTAGCGACAAATAGGGACAAGGACGGATGATAAAGTGTCAAAAGTTTCTTAGCGCTACAAGTTGAAAGGAAACTGTGGAGGACCATGATCATCCACGTCTAGAAAAGAAAATGGCATAAAAGAAGAATAGATGGTAGATCAGGGATGACATGGGATAGTAAAGAGTCAAACGTTGCTTAGAGACACCAGCAGAAAAGAGGTTGTGGAGAGCCATGATCATCTACGTCCTGAAAAGTCAAAGCAAATGAAAGAAGAAATGGTTGGTTGATTTTGTTTAGCGTTATATCAACCTCTATGGGTTATTTAATGCCGAAATCTAAACGCAACTTTATACCTTCAACTACAGATAAAATGTATTGTTGGTCATTTTGCTATAAAATGTATTGTTGGTCATTTTGCTATAAAATGTATTGTTGGTCATTTTGCTATAAAATGTATTATTGGTCATTTTGCTATAAAATGTCTTGTTGGTCATTTTGCTATAAAATTTATTGTTGGTAATTCTACTATGAAATATGTATTGTTGGTATTTTTACTATAGATATTGTTGGTGATACTACCATATAAATAGATGTTGCTTGTATTTTTACTATAAAAATTTAATGTTTTAATTTCAAATTTTTTTGTAAAACAATTTTTTATTTAAAATTTTAATTTTTGGGATTACAAACAGGTGCTACCATTTTGTGTCAATGTTTGATAACAACAGCAATTAAGATTGGTTCCATAATTTTAAAAACTTCCAAAATAGATCAAATTTCTTTGCCTGATATAGTTTATCGTCATACCCAGGTCTAAGAAGAATAGATATATGAAGATAAAGACGTTTCTTAGAATTACAAAAATATAAAAGAAGTTTTAAAAATGTGAAGAACTATGATCATCCACGTCCAGAAAGGACATGGCACATAAAAAATGAATAGATGGTAGATCAGGGACAAGTTGTGATAGTAATGATTCAAAAAAAATAAAAAGGAGATATTTTTTAAAAGGAGAAATGGATTTGTGATCGTCTAATTTTAATTTAAATAGACATTTAAAAATAGATAGATAAAGCAGAGACAAGATTATTTTAAAAATAATAAGAAATTCAGACGTTGCTTACATCTACATTTGGAACAGGTAGGAGAAAGATTTTATATGTTATATTGAAAAGAAAGAAAAAAAGAAAAAGAAAGAAAGAAAAAAAGAAAGAAAAAAAAGAAAAAAGAAAGAAAAAAAAGAGCGAACAGGTGGGTAAAAATTTTAATAAATTATTTAAAAGAAAGAAAGAAAGAAAGAAAAAAAGAAAGAAAAAAAAAGAAAGAAAAAAAAAGAAAGAAAAAAAATTCAAAAGGAAAAGGTGGGAGAAGGAATAATTTTGTTTTAATTTATAGAAAAAAAAAAAAAAAGAAAAGAGAGAAGGAGCGAAGAGGTGGGAGAATGAATAATTTACTTTGAACAGACAGAAAGAAAGAAAGCAAAAGAATGAAAAAGAAAGAAACAACTTTAAATAAAAGAAAAAAAAGAAAGAAAGAACATTGGGAGAAGGAATAATTAATAATCTTATACTTGTACTGAAAAAAAAACAAATAAAAAAAAAAAATGCGGAATTTTTGGGTAAAAGGTTTGAAAGGAATTATTTATTTATGAAGAAAAAAAAATAATAAATAAATAAATAAATAAATAAATAAATAAAAAATTAAAGAAAGAAGAAAGAAAAAAAAAAAATAAAAAAAAAAATATAAAATAGATAGAAAGAAAGAGGGAGTGAACAGATAGAAGAATGAATAATTCGCGTATGACTTAAGATAAAAATAAAAGAATCAATGAATGAGACAAGAGGACTGATCTTTTTCATGGTTCTTTGTAAACAACACAAAAGTAAATTTGTTTTCTTTCAATTTATTCTCCTGGAAAAGAATGGAGTAAAAAAAATGGCAAAATTAAAGATTAGTGGAAAAGTTTTTAGAGGCGAAGCCAAAATTAAGAAATAAATACTTATTTTAAAGAAATTTTATAATCTCGACTTGTCATGAAAAAAAATAAAAAAAAAAAAAAATAAAGAAATATTAATTAAAATATTTCTTGTTGGGAGACGTCACTGAACAACAACTTTTGTTTTATTTTTTGACTTTAATCGGAGCAACGTTTGAGAATGACTATTTTAGTCACTCCCAAATGAGTTCTCGTTTGTTTTTCTGCGACGGAGACTGTCACTTTGAAATCACCTTCACCGACCATACCGTCAACAAAAAGAAATGGTAATATCAATCAATCAAAAAATAAATACTGTCGGTATAATAATGACTAGATAACCAGAATAAACCTGTTCCGATCATTTACAAATACAATATTTGATGTTGTTATCAACCAACAAAATAACAATTTTCTGTAAAACGAACAAATTTTATTTTTGTAATACAGCCACTATGAATTTAAAAATATTTCTAATTCTTTTTTTTCTTCTTCTTCTTTTTTTATTTTTTCTTTGCAACCTATTCTTCCTCAGTTATAGGTTGAATAACAGAACAGACTCCATCCTAGAGCCTTGGTTGGCAACAAGTCTGTCACAGAAAGAAATAGCTGCCTTCTGCGGGAACATCTTCTGCCTTGTCAGTCATTAATCGAAAGAGACATGATTGACCAACCGTGTATCACGTATGGAACTTACTTAACTGACTGAATAGCCTAAAGTTAATCCGTATTAAAAGAAAAATAAATTTCCGTATGTAAAAAAATATTTTTAGGTATTTTTCCAAAAACATCAACTCGTCACTCATCGACTCATGCAACCATGGCGAAAAATATAAACAACAATTTTAAAAATCTCTCAAAAATCCAATATTTGTTCTAGACACGTACTTCAAAGTAAATTAGTAAATTTAATGATTAATTAACTGGATTTTGTAAATGCAATGCTTACTGTTCGCTTAGAATATAATGAAATTAATGTTTATTTACGCGAGATAGCCTAAGATGTCATAGATCAACAGTAGTTTTACTGTATGATTTGATTTATTTATTTATAAATTTTTTTAAATTATTAAAAAACGGAACCAACTGTACAATAAATATAAAGAAATTTGTTTTTATGTTTTTTTATATATAAATAATTTAAGGATATAATTTTTTTTTTTATGTTTTTTCTATGAAACTTAATAAAATGAATAATTTTATTTTTTATAATACAGGGTACGATGGGTAAATTGTCACCATTTTATATTTTTAACTTTGCGCATGCACTGCACATTGTTTGTTTTTGATTTTGTCGACTGCACAGTATAGTAGGGTCAGTTGGGCACCGTCTGTGAGAGAAAAAAGAGCACCATGACGCAATTCACTCTGCCAGAAATTTGGAAACGGCATGCTGTACTGCTTGGCATTTGCACCGGAAGCTCCAATACGAACATTTCAGAGTGTTTGGGTGTCAATCTGAGGACAGTGCAGAGGATTCGGAAAGAGTTGGATGAGTCTAATAATGATTACGAAGGTACGGCAGCTCGGAAAACTCACTCTGATCGTTCTGATAAGAAAAGAACTCCCGAAATTGTTGGTGAGGGCCTCAGACTCAACACGGAGGCCTACATCAAGTGCCTTGAGGAGGTAGTGCTGCCCTGGGTCAAGAGGGTGGCTGCTGGAAGACCCTATGTCTGGCAACAGGACTCTGCACCATGCCACACAAGCAGGAGAACCCAGTCATGGCTGTCAGACAATTTCTGCGACCACATCACCCCTTACATCTGGCCACCTAACTCCCCAGACTGCAACCCCTTGATTATTATGTATGGGGCGCAGTTGAGCGAGAGACCAACAAAACTCCTTGTAACACCAAAGATGAACTGAAGGCAAGGATTATGGCAGCATTCACCAACTTAAACAAGGAGACTGTCCAGAAGAGTTGCAGGAGATTCCAAAGTCGTCTGGAGGCTGTGGTTGAACCCAATGGTGATTTTATTGAATAAATTTACTCTTTAGTATTTCAAGATATTTTTGTGTAATTTTGGTAAAATATCTGTTAAAATGAGATGTCAGTGTTATTTTCATTTTTGCATAATTTAGACGACAATTTATCCATCGCACCCTGTATATATATATATAAATATAAATATATATAGGCCACTTATATATATAACAAGTCTTTTTTAATTTTGGGATTATTTTTTGAAACGAATTTTGAAATTGATGCAAAAAAGATTTTGTAAATATTAAACATTTTTATTTTCTATACCACAATTTAAAAAAAATTTATCATCGTCAAATAAATAACAATTGTTTGTCAATTTTTTGATGAATAAAATTTTGTGGTTACCATTTATTTATATTTATTTGATTTTTTTTCTACTATCATTTATTTTTTCAAATTGAATTGATTCATAGAGGTGTTTGTATTTTGTCAAAATTCATATAAATAATTTTTTTCTTTAATTCCTAATTTCAATTAAAGGATTTTAAACCATTATATCTTATTTATATTTTTTTTTTTTTTGATTTTGTTTTTTTTAAAAAATAAACAAACTTTTTTTAAAATATTTTTTTTGTTTATTTATTTATTATTTCGTAATTTGTTTTGCTGTCTGGTGTTTTTTGTTTACCTACACTTAAAAAAAACCGTTCATATTTTTTGAGCTTCTTTATTTGTGTGCTACCAATTTCGTTGGTAACAATTTGGTAGTATAGGAATAACTGACCAGTACGAAATATGACGAGATATATTTTAATTGTTTGAACGAAAAACAAAACAATTCTAAAATGATTTTGTCGATAAAAAATAAAGGATTCGGTCCGAAATTCTGTGATGGTTTCTTGGATGGAAAAGCACAACGTTGTCAAAAAAAACAGCAAAGATTTAGAACATTAGTTCAATTTTAAATAAATAATAGCACCTCATTAGAGAAATTCAAAAATATGTTTACTTAAATTCAACATCATTACCATTATTTCTTCTATCTATATGTATATGTCTCTTCAGGATGTAGGCGATCATTTATAAAATCCACAATTTCCTGTCCTGTTTTTTTCTTAATAAATTTTGACTTTTTCTAAATTTCTATGAAAACTTGTCCCGCCATCCATCCATCCATTTCAATATTTAATAAATTATATTGGAAAAATTTTTATTTTTTTTTTTCTCTGTATTCTAGCCTTTAAAAATGCGCCTTTTAAAAATTTTATCAGATTTTCTTAATTCTTCCTTCATAAATTTTTTTTAAAATACCTACGGACGTTAATTATATTTAAATTTAAATAAATATAGTATTAAAAATTGTATGTTGGAATGCAGTTGGAAATTCATTATACAATTGGAACTTGATTTCTTTTTAAAAAATAGCAGTTGAATTTAAAAAAAATTTTTATTTAAAAAATATGGCGAATCTTATATTTGTTGTTTTTGTCCTAATTATTATCGTTCATTCCAAAAATCGTTTGATTATTCTATTTTTAACATATTATTTTAGGTTACAACAATTATATATTTCAGAAATTTCAATAAAAAATAAAAAAATAATTTTAAAATTTGTTTTTTTTTTTTTGTTTCCGTTTTTCTAAAACTTATTCGTTGTTCATATTTTCGGTCTACGGTGTCCTTTAAAAATCCTTCTGGAAAAGAATTTCCGTTTTTTCAAATTTAACTTCATCTTTTTAATTTTAAAATATAATCCAGCATTCACTGAACATACAAAATTTGATATCACGTAACAGTTCAAATTTTTCATTTTTTTGTTTATTACGAAATTTTTCAAAGCTTGTAATTTATTTAGGCATCTTTTTTTATAAAGTATGCTTTAAAATTTTCTTTCAGTGTTTTTTTTTTTTCTGTTAAAACGCTTCCTCATGAAAAATTTCTATTTTCAACAATAATTGATTTCGCTTTTTTGTTCTGCTTATACAAAGGACGCCTTTCAAAAAAATAAATTTTTCACTAATTGAAAATAATTCCAGCGAAGTTCCACTTCAGTCCGGCTGTTTTTTTTTGTCTTTTTTAGCAAAATAAGTGCAGAATTTAAAGCATGCATTATTTTATCCCTGTTCGTTCGGCATATTCAGATCAAAAAACTGAGATGAATCAATAAATCATGATATGGATTCTTGGAACATTTTTAGTGGCGCATGAAAATCAGTTTATATTGATTTCAAAAAAATTTAAAGAGAATGATGAGATAGAAAGGCACTATCGATGATGGCGGAATAGAAATCAAAACCATAACCACAGACTTTTATCGTAGTCGTCGTTATTTCGTTTCGCAACGCTTGTCCGGCTTATTAATATATTCATTTCGTTTTACAGTCAAATTCACTGATAAGCCATTTTTATTTGAACAATCATTTGTGTTTTTATTTAAAAAATTTGTTTTCGGATATACCAAAACTAAAAAAAAAAAAAAAAAAAAAGAAAGAAAGAAAAAAAGAAAAAGAAAAAAATGAATAAATGTAAAAGAAAGATGAATTAAGGAAAGAAATTTATTTAAGATGAAGAAAGAGATTAAAAAATCAAAAAGATGGAAGTAACGGACTGTAAAGAGAAGGAAGAGTACATAATGTAGATAGAAGACGAAAAAGAATGTAAAATAGTGGA